TTGGTGAGAAATATTTGGAAAGAAAAGGACCCAAAAGATTGAATCTTGAATGATTTATCATAAAAAAACACTAATTTCGTAGATCTAGCCAAAAAAAGTTTGGGATCTCATTTGCCTGTAAATTATATAGATAAATTATAAAGTATAATATGGTGGGCATCTATTTTGCTAGTGAGATCCCAAACAAAACAAAGTTGGGCCCCAAAGGAGTATATAGTACTTCGAAATGTAGCAAAGTAACTTTAGAGTTGAAAGGCTTTGTTGAGTTGTGCGTAATCGACTAGTAATGGCGTAATCTAAGCAATTTGATAATGTTATACAAGGTGCACTGCCAAACTGTGACTGATGGAGTAGATATCCCAGACCCATGGAGCTTCAAACTTTCATATGATAAGTTAGTCATCGCATCTGGAGCACAGGCTTCTACTTTCGGGATAAAGGGTGTGAAGGAGCACGCAATTTTTCTCCGTGAAGTTCATCATGCTCAAGAAATCCGGAGGAAGTTACTATTAAACTTGATGCTGTCGGATGTGCCTGGTATGCTTCTGAGATAGTGAATCTGTGGCAAATGGAATGTATGAGTATGTTCTAACTTTGAAATACTCTGTTGGATATGGGTTGGCGTAGGGGTCAGTGATGAAGAAAAGCTTAGACTACTTCACTGCGTTGTTGTTGGTGGCGGTCCAACTGGAGTCGAGTTCAGTGGTGAACTTAGTGATTTTATCACTAGGGATGTTCATCAAAGATATGCCCACGTGAAAGATTATATCCGTGTTACATTGATTGAGGTTAGCTAACCAAAATTTTGGTATCTGATATTTCATATTGATCTCTTGATACATCTCTATTCCTCTGCATGATTCCGACTAGAGTTCATGCTTTGCCTGCATATGCACTAGGCCAGCCAAAATTTTCAGTTTCCTTTAGGCCAATTTTATTGTGATGAACACTCGTGTCTGACTTGATCAATATGTGTTATTGAAGTTATCATTAATCAAAATGTTGTTTTTTACAGGCAAATGAGATATTATCTTCCTTTGACGATCGCCTTCGGCAATATGCGACTAAGCAGCTAACCAAGGTGAGAGATAATGACTTAATCTGAAGATATTGTTCACCATATCAAAAATTTTGAAGATGTCGTTATCATTCCTTGCTCAACCTTTGTTTATGTTCATTTTACTGCATACTTTCACATGGAAGGATCTGGTCATGTTTACTGCTTACTATCACATGGAAGGATCTTGTCATGTTTGGAGTTTGAATGTCCTATATAAAGCATCTTTTCATGCCAGCAAACCATAGAGTATTAGTTCTCCTCCAAATGTTTTCTTACAAGGACGACATACTAAAGGCAATATACAAGGGGGTTCTCTGCTCATCTCTACAACCTCACATTTCCTGATCGCAAAATTGGGAAACAAATCTTATAACCTCACTGATATGTACAATGCTATGATATTTTACACACAGCCATCACTCGATTTCTGGGATTCTGGTAATACACGACCAACCCGCTAATGTGCCTCAAAGCCATTCATATGCCTGCTTTACGATGGTTTCCATAGGGCTTTGCAAAATATATTATGTCCTCAAACACATGGCTTGGTTGATATGATGATATTTAGGTGATCTATATGCTGATGTGATGATTATTGAGCCATTTTGAATTCTTCTGTTCTTCATTTTAGCACCCAAAACCCCCCACCCCAACACCCAATCCTACTGTGAGTTTTCAGAGTTTTTCCTTTTTTCCATTTTTGGTACTGTTGATATTTTTAGGATTTTTGGGGGGCTTGTGGGTGGTGCGGGGGTTGCTGTACATTTGCACTATGTCTCAAGGTTCTTGCTCATCTGCCTGAACATCAAAGGCACATCTAATTGCAGTTATATCTGTCATTTATGTTACAACATGTTCTGATAGTTTTCCCCTATAATGTCTGGACCTTTCCTTTTTTAATCTATTAGTTTCTCTCAGTCGGGAGTTCGTCTTGTCCGTGGCATTGTCAAGGATGTTCAACCGCGGAAGATAATTCTGACTGATGGCACAGATGTTCCATATGGCCTGTTAGTGTGGTCTACAGGCGTTGGTCCCTCAGGTTTTGTGAATTCTCTAGAAGTTCCAAAATCTCCCTCTGGAAGGTAAGTTCTTTATGATGTGTTGAAAACTAAACTGCCTATCTTCTTAGTGTCTGCCATTTATTGCTGAATTTAAACTTCTTGTGGTGACTAAGAGGACATGGTGGCAAATTAAGAAAACATTAGAGATGTGTGTGTGAAATGCCTAGACCATAAATACTTATTCGTTTGTTTCTTTTTCTTGTTTCTTATTCCTTCTGAGCTTGTTATGGTTCTTTTTTAAGTTTTCATTTAACTTGATAGGATTGCTTCATTACTGCTTCTATCTTTTAGGACATTGCATCTTAATTACTTGTGCTTGTCTGCATTTTCCATTTCTGAAATTGTTCCTAACGAGTCTTTGCTCTGTGGTTATTTATGAATTTTTTAGTTCAATTTACTGGAAGGGTGTTGATGAGACTCCTTGTGCTTACAGGATTGGTGTTGATGAGTGGCTACGCATCCCTTCTGTGCAGGATGTGTTCTCTATTGGTGACTGCTGTGGGTTTCTGGAAAGTACGGGAAAACCAGTTCTTCCTGCTTTGGCGCAGGTAAGTTGTGGGGAGATTCAACTCTCATATTGTCCAGTTTTTAAACTTTCGGAGTTTTAAAATTTCAAGATATGGGTCATTCAAGCTGTTATTGCTGTCAAATGAGCTGTATTGTGTCCAATTTGATTTTTGTGTGTTTGCTTATCCCCCATTGAAGGAAAGTACTATGATGTTTGAATTTGCAATCAGTTTACTCATAATTTGCAACACTTGGTTGTATGATGTTGCTATCCTTACTGCAGATAGATTACGATTTAGGGGCCTATTCTGAATTGATTAATGTCATCTATCACTCCAAAAGTTGAAAGTTCCTGTTAGATAATTTTGTTTGCCACATGCTTGATCTATACATGTCTGATTTCAAATGTGTGACAATTAAAGGACTAGTACCAGCAGTTTGTAGGATAACTATTCAGTATTCACTGACTTGACACAATTCGGAGCTGCTACTCTGATAGTCTTCTGGCTCTAAAGATACTTCCATTTGGGGTGTTAAAACAGGTTGCAGAGCGTCAGGGGAAATATCTAGCCAAACAATTGAACAGGATTGGTGAAGCTGGTGGCGGTCATGCTAATGCAGCAAAAGGCATGGAACCCGGGGATCCCTTTGTCTATAAGCATTTGGGGAGCATGGCAACAATTGGAAGATACAAGGCTCTAGTGGACCTTAGGCAGAGCAAGGTGATATTATGCCACATCGTTGCTTTTCTCTTAAACTGTAGACACTTTAAATGGGTTGCTTATTTGTAAAGCATCTTTTACAGGAAGCAAAAGGGCTCGCTCTGGCAGGATTTACTAGCTGGTTCATTTGGCGATCGGCATATCTCACACGTGTAATAAGCTGGAGGAACAGATTCTATGTGGCAATCAACTGGGCCACAACTTTTGTATTTGGCCGGGATATAAGTCGGATATAGATTGAAACACAAAGGTAAGTTACCTCATTATGTTCAACAAACAAAGTGTATCTCTCTTTCTTGCTCATCCTATCCCAACACCCCTGCTCGTTCCGCCTTTTTTCATTCAAGTGGATGACAAAGTAGATTTTGCCATGTAGTATCTAATGTGTACAATGATTGAAACACAAAGGTAAGTTACCTCATTATGTTCGACAAACAAAGTGTATCTCTCTTTCTTGCTCATCCTATCCCAACACCCCTGCTCGTTCCTCCTCTTTTCATTCAAGTGGATGACAAAGTAGATTTTGCCATGTAGTGTCTAATGTGTACAATGATTTTGTCGAAGCTGCTAACTGCTACTTCCTAAACCAGAGTCCTGTCTTTGCTTGCAGGAATCGGCAGTGTCCCCATTTAATAGTCTGTTGGTGTTTCCCTGTGTTACTAATCCAAGGAACAAATTCGGAACACTTTGGGCTGCGTACACTGTGATTCGAGCCCCACCAAACATTGGAGAAGAGGATAAAATAGGAAACAAAGGTCATTTGCTTTCATTGAGAAGAACAGTGAAGCATGTTTTGCCATAGAGATAAGTAGTTGTATTCTTTATTAATGTTCCTATATACCACTTAAATTTTTTGTGAAATTGGCTTTTGATATTCCTTGATATCTTGAATTGAAATTTTTGGTGGATTGTAATGCATTTGCTCGGGGTCAGGCTGACAAATCGTTTTCCACCTGAAGGCCTTGATAGCAATATAGCAAGAAAAGAAATCCATAGGAATTCTTTCAACTTCTGTTTGAACATCTTGAATTAAGTCGAACCGGGCAAATTAGACATGTAGTTTGATAAAGTGACATGAGGGCCATTGTTGTCGAAGAGAAGACTTATGCCTTTTTTTTTCCTTTTTCCTTTTTTTTTTTGGGTTTTGAGGAGGGGAGAAAAGGGGGGGGGGGGGGGGGGGGGTGATGCAGTTTGGAGGAGGCATCTTGTGAAGGATAGTCCCGATCTTACTTTTATGGAGCTATGTGCCCAAGTTGATGGGAGCATGTGGAGCATTCCTAAACTTTGCAATAGAACTTCTTGTTTCTATCATACCGTGTTTGACCTTTTGTAGGAGAATGATTATGTGAAGAATAGTCTTGATTTTACTTGTAAAGGAGGAGTCCAATTTGGTTGGAGCAGCCACAAATCTCTCACTAATATTCGAATTTGGGAGAGGTAAATGACAGTTGGTCGTATTTTCATTTTGGAAAGACAGGTTCTTAGACTTGAATGTTGACCCAAAATCGCTTCGCTTTGACAATTATGCCAGCCAATTTTCATTAACTCATCCCGAGAGTTTTGAGATCTCGTCTAGGTAGCACATAAGTGAGCAAATTTTGGAGTAAGATCTCGACCTTCAGTGTTTTTCTTTGGTGAATTACTTACCATGAATTTAAGTGAAATTTTGTGTTTGCTAGTGAATTCCATCGTTAATAGATGGTGGGTGATCCACTACTATTATGTTAGTCCGAGAATAGTCAAAACAGCAGTCATGTACTTTTCCAAATGGCACGTTGTTCTATTATAGTAAAAAAAAATTCATGATCAGAGAAGAATAGTCTATGCTATGGAGGGATCAAGACTGGAGGAGGATGACATGTGACATACTACGAACTGGAATAGTAAAGGGTAACTTTAGTAGGTAGCCAGAAACTCCCAGGCAACTCAAAACCCTCAACTGTATCTGTATTCATTTACACTAAGTTGTCCATTTACATATAGTCAGCTGAAATTACAGATCAAAGCTTTGACAGAGACCCAAGAAGGCAAACCCACCCTTAATTGTGTGCCTGGTTAATTGAATAATTTGTTCCCTTTTTAAAGTCATGTGCTAACAAAGGAACTACCCACCATGATCCTAATTATGAGATTTTTCCCTAGCTTGGGTATTCATTGATGAATCCATTCATAAATAGCTTGAAAACCTTTTCTTTTGTGTCTTTCCTAAAAGGGAAACCACAAAAGTTAAACTAAAATCTCTCTCTCCACTCACAAACCCACACACATGCACTCATGCATACACATGAGGTAATGCTCTTTTTCGCCATTCGTCTGGACCTCAACACACTGTTCTATGGAAAAGCTGGCCAAGTCGGTGGAAACATGCATGAAATTTCCCACCACCGGGTAGCGAATCAAGACTTTGACCCACAAATAAAGAAAGAGAGTATCTGAAAGCAGCCGATGGTGATGTGCACCAAAGGTCGAAAGCCCTTACACGCGCATTCAGACTTTTGCTCCAGAGAGAGAGAGAGAGAGAGAGAGCACCTCTGACCTTTCCCCTTGAAGCTCAATTACTACATGCAGGCGCCTCAATGTACAATAGATTATAGGTGTGAACAGGAAAAAGAACTTACAAGTTGTGTATCTTTAAACCCACGTATAAGTCTTATGACTCTATGGTGCCTTAGATCTGGCTTTTCGGTCCATCTAGAAAAAATTGAATTTAGTTATGACTATTTATAATATAAAATAGAATAATTTTTAATAAGTTCATTCAACAGTCTCAAATAAACTCATTTAATGATTACCAACACTCTTCTTAAAATCATTTATATTGAATTTTCACCTCTCAAATTCATCATTTCTCACTTATTATATTTTTGGACATAAATTATCCCTAATTATTTATAAGTCAAGATATTATGGTATCAAAAAATTACTTATTTTGCATGTTAAAAAAGATAGAGAAGTGAACCTAACTAACTTTATCCACTCACCGAAAAGCCATCGAGAGGAGGCCTAGAACTGCAGACCCTCATTAAATAGTTATGGAAGACTAGCCCTTCATTCATTCACAGGTATTATTAATTTCAAGACTTTGGTATCATTCATTGATTTACTGCACTTTTGTCATCCGCCGACAGACTGGCATTGCCAGAATTTTGTCACCACACCCGTAACCATAACTCATTGCGGTTGTGTTCTTTAAAAGACAGACACGGGGACCAAACACAAGTTGAATACTCAACTCAATATTCCAAACACTTTGGCAATCAATTTGCTTGCTAATCTTTTTTTTTTTGGTCAGAATTCGCTTGCTAATCTCACTCACTCTTGTTCAATTCATCTCTCAATGCCCATTACATTACTTGGTTGATCTTCTAATTTTCCTAATGTAATTACATTCGTGTTAATTTTCAAATTAACACAGAAAATTTTTATGTGTTTTATTTTAATTGATTCATAATTTTTATGTTACATGAACTTAACTAGAACTCGATCTCTCTAATTTGATTTTAGAGCTTCCTAGTTTGTTTAATGACTCCTAACATAACTTGTTAAAAAAAAAAAACAAAAACCAAAATGAATTGTAGATGTCTTTCATGATACAATGATAAACAAAAAATCACTATTTATTCATTTAAAAATTTTAGAAAAACTTTGAAATTTCGTCAATGAGACATTTGTAAGACATAAGAAGCAGGAGTGGCTCAACAGTGTTGTTGAAAAAGATTGGTTTTAGGCCCCATTTTTAAAAAAGACCTCAAATTTTTAGATATCATAAATAGTCTATATAAAAAATTAAATTCATAAATACTTTAAACCCTACAAAAAAGTCTTTAAAAATACAAGCTCAATCAAAAAAAAAAAATTAAGGCCTTACTTCAAAGAAGTCTTCATAATTTATAGGTGTACAATAATAGTTCAAATAAAAAATTTAAATTCATGCTCAAACAAAACATTTCAACTTAAGTAGATTGGATATATTAACTCAGCTATAAAATTAGAAAGCCCTAAAATTTATTTTTTTTTTTTAAAAAAAGGAAAAAGAAAAACTAATAGTAATCCTAAAACTATAAAAAAAATCTAGTCTTAACCCCTAAAAAAGTCAAGTTTAAATTTATCACCTTAATTTTTCAATTATTTTTTCTCTATCTTACCGTCAAGTTCAAATATGATAACAAAAACTTGAAACTAAAATTTTAATTAATATTTTTATATTTAAAAAAATTAAAAAGCAGATTTATTATTAATATTAAAAATAAAAAAGTCTCATTTATCATTTTCGCTTCAGACTCCAAAATGTCTCGGGCCGCTCTTAATAAGAAGAATATATATTTGGAACAATCAAAATTCTAATCATTCTCAATACAAAAGAAATTTTCTAATTATATGAAATTAATTAATTAACATAAAAGCATGTATCCTATACAATTTAACAAAATTGATGACACTAAAATTAGAATCTTTTACGATTTATTATTAGATTTGGTTTTTACAAAAAACAAATAGCAAAACACAAGGATTTGAGGAGATAGAATTTGCCCAAAACTAAAAGAGCTCATCTCATTTTAATTAGCAATTAAGATTCATCATTCTAATATGAATCAAACAACATTGGTCTATTTAATTCTAGTCTGATCCAATTTACCACTTAATTCTAAGATCATCTCCAACAACAAATTGTATTTTAGCTACCCAAAAAATAACTTTTTCTATTTTAACTACTCAGTTTTTTAATACACACTCCAATAAATTCTCTATATTTTTAACTACTCCTTTTAAATATTATTTCTCATTCCTTTTATAATATTTTTTTTGGGAATAATAAAAGAGAGAGAATGGAAGAAAGAAGTGGAAAAAGAGAAAATAATACAAAATATATTTATAAGTTGCTACAATAATATTCTATATTTAGAGTATTACTGTAATAAAAATCTATTTTAGAATATCTGAAGAATATATGTTGGAGTACGATTTTTTGTTTTGGTTAGCTAAATTTTAGCTATTTTTGTGCTTTACAGCATTTATTTGGAACAATCAAAATTCTAATCTTTCTCAAAACAAAAGTAATTTTCTAATTATATGAAATTAATTAATTAACATAAAAAGCATGCATCCTATACAGCTTAACGAAATTGATGACACTAAAATTAAAATATTTTACGATTTATTATTAGATTTGATTTTTTTTTAAAAAAAAATAGCAAAACACAAGGATTTGAGGAGATAGAATTTGCCCAAAACTAAAAGAGCTCATCGCATATTAATTAGCAATTAAGATTCATCTTTCTAATATGAATTAAACAACATTGGTCTATTTAATTCTAGTCTGATCTAATTTACCACTTAATTCTAAGATCATCTCCAACAACCAATTGTATTTTAGCTACCCAAAAAATAACTTTTTCTATTTTAACTATTCACTTTTTCAATACATACTCTAAAAGATTCTCCATATTTTTAACTACTCATTTTAAATATTATTTCTTATTCTTTTTATATTATTTTTTTGAGAATAATGAAAGAGAAAGAGAGAATGAAAAAAAGGAGAGGAAGAGAGAGAAAATAATATAAAATATATTTATAAGTTGGTACAATAATACTCTATATTTAGAGTACCACTGTAATAAAAATCTATCCGAAGAACATCTATTGGAATATGATTTTTTGTTTTGATTAGTTAAATTCTAGCTATTTTTATGCGTTACAACGTTTATCGGAGATACTCTAACTAGCTTGCTATCACATGTTGTACGTCACTTCAACTGATGAAATACTGTTATATTGCTGTGAATGTACCCTTTTTTTTTTTCTTTGGTCAGGCTGCGAATTTACTTCATGGCATTCATTTTGAATCACATATCCACCCAACACCGAAAGTTAGCTTAAAACTGAAAATGTCTTCATTGGTGGGTAGGAAAGATAAAGGAGTTTGAGGAGAGTGGAGGAGGAAATCTGCTGAGGATTAAAGCATTTTGTGAGCCACAAAGAAATTGCATATGGAATTCAATTGTGTTTGTTACAGTTCAACCTTACAGCCTTGCCACATTTAATCCCACACGCAACGCGCATATAACATGCTTTACAAATGTACCATTTTAAGGCGGTTAAGTCGCATTGTATCAAAAAAAAAAATTTAATTCATACTGGATCATTCGTCTCCTTTGTTGGTGGGATTTTGAAGGCATAACACACGGTTAGACATGGTGAATCTAATATAAGATAAACTTATTAAATTTCATTTACATTCATTGATTTTTAAAAAATGTTATACAATTCAAATAAAATTTAAAAAATACAAGTTAATATACACATTATTGTTTGAATGAGTGTTAAATGATTAAACTCTATTGAAAAAATTAATAAGACTCACTTATCAAATAAATATAAATTTGAGTTATAATTTTTTGAATTCTATATGCATCGTTTATCTCTTGATTGCTCGTATAATACTGTAGCTGGTATACAGAGCTGTCAAACACGATACTTCGTACTGCGTGCCCTTATAAATAGTTTAAGATGTGTCCGCAAACCTACCAAAGTCCAGAGGTGGAGGACAGCGCTCTTCTCATTCTGGGCCAAAACATCTTCCCATCTCTGGCACTGAAACACATATATTTGCTCCATAAAAACGGCTACAAAGCAAGATGGTGCCAGTACAAACAGAAGAAGCAAGAGCAGAGGCCGCTTGGACCAACTTCCAGAGCATGGCTCAAGGTATGCCTTCCAAGTCAACACAAAACGAAACATGGGTTGATGTGTTAAGTAATGGATAATATCACTCTGTCCTTGAAGGTATAAGAGGCCATATGTATACATATTGTGGTTTCAAATTTTGTTCTACAATGTGTGTGAGAGCAAGTTTGATAATGAAGGAAAATTTTCAATTTTCGGATTGGTAGGACTATGGTCTGACACTGGCTTCAACTTTGGGTTTTTGTTAAGGGTAGTCCGCAAATTTTAACTTTTCATTTTTTCACAATTGGGTGTAGTCAGAGGATCCATCATTTCATTAGGTAGTGAGTTTAACAATCCATGTCAAATCCTATGTGAAACATATGTTCTTTCTTTTGGATTATCCGAAACACAAACCCGAGCAAGCAGCGGATCTCCTAGGTGGGTTAGAGGCGGCAGCATTATTTAAGATCCGATATACACTTGGATCCTAAAATCAACGAGAAGAAGGGAAAAAAAAAACCCACCAATTTTTTGCTCTCCACATACCTTGTCAACTGGACTAAGAATGAGATTCATAATCCGGTAATAGCTTTCTTTGCAAATTTTGTTAGCACGGTACCCTTTTGTGGACTTTTTTTTTTTTTTTTTTTATGTACCTAAGAAGCTGTAACATTGAAGAATGTTTGATTTCGTATGTTTGAACCATCTATGTTGTGGAAAGGAGTAGTAGTACTATAGATCGTGATTGCTTCTAGCTATAACCAGTGTTTTTGGCGCCCATAGATGACAGCCCTCCTTTCTTGGCATGTTCTTCAGACAAAAAGTATAAGGCAAGTTCTTTATTAAAGGTCTTGCCGGTAAATGGAGAGGAGAAAGAAGGGAAGGCCATCAATGGAGTTCATAACGTCAGTGATGAAGGTGAATTTGACCCAAGTGCACCTCCTCCGTTTAGGCTGGCCGAGATTCGAGCAGCCATTCCGAAGCACTGCTGGGTCAAGAATCCATGGCGGTCTGTGAGCTATGTCGTTAGGGATGTTCTTGTAGTTTTTGGATTGGTGGCAGTGGCAATTTACTTCAATAATTTGATTGTTTGGCCGGTTTACTGGGCTGTCCAGGGGACAATGTTTTGGGCACTGTTTGTTCTGGGGCATGATTGGTAATCACATACTCATCCTTTTGATTTTGGTGGTTTTACATAGTGTTCTGGATCTGATAAAGTAAACCCAATACTAATTTACCTAAAACTTTGTTCATTTTTCAATTTACAGTGGCCATGGAAGTTTCTCTGACAGCCCAACCCTGAATAGTTTCATTGGACATCTGCTGCATTCTTCAATTCTTGTACCCTACCATGGCTGGTAGGTTTTTGATAATTCTTGGTTCATGTCCTTCAGAACTTCATAAATGTGTGCCCATATTTAGTTGAGATAAGAATGCTGTTCAAGATTAATCACTGGTAATTGCAACAGGAGAATCAGTCACAGAACTCACCATCAGAACCACGGAAACGTTGAAAAAGATGAATCATGGGTTCCGGTATTGGTCCTTAATCCTTTATTGGTCATTCCTCTACTTATTTACCACGAATTACCACTACGATCGATCATTTGTTCGATGTGCAATTGTTAGTTGTAAATTTCTTTAGAATTCCTTATCACCCCCACTCACTAATGTTTACATTGTTGTATTGTTTACTCTTCTGGTTCCAGTTGCCCGAGAGGCTGTACAAGAATCTGAGTGTTTCTACCAAATTTCTCAGATTCAAAATTCCTTTTCCCCTGTTTGCATATCCTATATATCTGGTGAGGATTTATTATCCATAACACCCATTATTTCCTTCGGAACTAGTATGCATTTTGTTTGCGAACTCAGAAAATACTCTGTGTTTACTTGATGGATGCATTACAGTGGAGTAGGAGTCCAGGAAAGAAAGGTTCCCATTTCAACCCTTACAGTGATTTGTTCCACCCCAGTGAGAGGAAATTAGTGATCACTTCAACAGTCTGTTGGACTGTGATGGTTGCTCTGCTTGTCTACTTGTCCAATGTAATAGGTCTTGTTCAAATGCTAATGATCTATGGTGTTCCCTACTTGGTAAGTGATACCTTTTATTTCTCTCTAACAGAATAGTATTTGAAGTAGTTAAGTTTCTTCGGTTTTGTTGGGATCATTTAAACCTGTGTAAATCTGCAGATTTTCGTGATGTGGTTGGACATTGTTACTTACTTGCATCACCATGGCCATGAGCAGAAGCTTCCTTGGTATCGTAGCAAGGTTGTACTAATAATCCCATTTCAGTCTGCCTCTTATCAAGTTCTTTTTCTCAAAATATCTCTGGAAAAATATTGATACATGTAGAAGGTTATGCTAATGTTCTTGTCTGAACATTGAATAGGAATGGAGTTATCTAAGGGGAGGGCTTACGACAGTGGATCGTGATTACGGGTGGATCAATAACATCCACCATGACATTGGCACCCATGTTATACATCATCTCTTCCCTCAAATCCCACATTATCACTTAGTTGAAGCGGTACTACCTCAATTGCCAAAAAGATAGGATTTCACTAGCAAATTTTATTGAGTAAAGTCCCTTCTTCTAACAGTTTCATATTGTCATCTTGCAGACAAAGGCAGCTAAGCCAGTGTTCGGCAAGTATTACCGAGATCCAAAAAAATCTGGGCCAATTCCATTCCACTTGATCAGTAATCTAGTGAGAAGCATTCAGCAAGACCACTTTGTTAGTGACAGTGGAGACATTGTGTTCTATCAGACTGATTCTCAACTTTATGGATCTCCTGGTAGCAAGGATGAATGACTATGCAATACAGTCAAAACAGGGGATGTAATCCAGTAACATTGTTACAGCACCTCATACTTCATGATTTAGACTCATTTATGTTGCCCATGGTGGGTAAATAATTAATCTCTAGAGAAATAACATTAGGCATTTGTTAGCCATGATTATCATGTTGTGGCACATTTTGCTGGTTTTTCAGGATGTTATGTGATGAGGATTTAGAAATATTCCTCGGCGAATTTACTGTGGTTTTTATTATTTGAGCGGAAATGATAGTTTCAGATTTTTGCCTCTAAGATTGGTTCAAATGCATTATCTATTTGTGATTACTTACTTTTATCTCGACATATATGGAGTGAAAACACTAGAATTCAGTCTAAAATCCTGAAACTAGAGAAATTGGAATAAAACATTCTATTTAACCTCTACAGACCTTGTTAGCAACACGAAATTGATATGCAAATTACCCATTTGGAATTACAGCAATACGAAGGTGCATACACTGGCAAGTTTATAAAGGCAGATGTCTCTCCCAGTTAGTAAATATCACAAGTACACTGAGTTCAACCTTGGCTATAAAACAAGTGGGTGAAGTTATTCTAGATTAGATGAACGTGCATTACAACATAATTCTATGACTTCCAGGACCTTGTCACCACGATGCACGAAAACAGAAAAAATAGAAAATAAGATGGAGTTGGTCTGATTATCCTCGTACAGTTGATCAAGTTGTGAATCAGGAAATTGAATTTTAATTAATTTCTACAATTTTTGTGCAAAGCTAGATGATCATATACTTTTTCTCAGAATATCTGACAGGATGGGGACTAGATTGTTCAATCTCAGCCATTACTTTTTATTACATACGTCTGGTCCACCACATAGAATTGTGACATAAAAGAGGAATCATCTCAGTGTAAATCCTTTTGGCTTTACCAGTCTGCAGCTTCCAAACAAGAAAGCCAAGGAAACAATAGAACAGAGGAAACAGGTCTAGACACATATGGTCGCTGAAAGGCCTTGCATTAACCGTCCGGCCAACGCTATTATGAGTCTATGACTTATAGCTGCGGACTGCAGTGTCCAATTGATCACTACACATATTCAAAATCAAAACACTCCAGATTAATCTTGGCACGGTGCCGTAGCTTTATCCCAATTTAAGAGTCCAAAAAGTCACCATCTTCGGCTGACCCCCTCCACCAACACCCAGAAAAAGAACTATGGTCAGTTTTGAGGACTATAGGTCCTTTCTGACACTTACCGTGCCAGCACTATTGTTGTCTCACCAGTCTGGCAATCGCCATATATACTCTCTCTCCCCCATATATTCTTTTTCTCTTATGTTGTATAATTAAGGGTAATTCATGTCTGAATATACAATATAATGTGATTGGTTTTAAGAGAGACGTTAGAAGTTGTTGAATGATTCTATTTGAGACTGTCAGATAAGTTTATTAAAATCTACCTTGTTTTATATTATACATTTGCTTAATCTAATAGGAAGTGAGAACTCAATTAGAAGGCCTAAGCTTTTTCCTCATCATTAAGTGAGAAAATATGATTAATAAAGTTACATAGGATTTTTTTTTTTTTTTTAAAATCTTGTCAAGGAGATCCGTTATGTCTCCTCTCTTTGTACATTTGATTTCATTTATCAACTGACTTCCATGATAAAAGATGGTGTGGCTTTTATAGCCCTGGTTTTGAGATCTCCTCGACCTATGCCAAATTTTATATTCCTTACTTCCTTGATTAAAAGCATAAAATAAATGATGTTAATTTGAATAAATTCACACTAGATACTCCTTATTCTGACTTTATCTTTAGATGATGCTCCTATAATAACTTAGTCAGATCATTTCTAACACATTTTTTTTAATATTTTTTTAGTAGATCATATATAATACATTGAAGTAAGACTCATTATATACACATGAATCTTTCGCTTAGATTACCCCCTTAGATAAGAGGGTGCATGTTTGAGCCAATTTGTTGGACAAATTGCAAAAAATTGACTGTTCAGCGCGCGTGGGAACCTCTGTCCTTCCTTTTGTCTATCAAGGCAGTAACATGTCACCAACATTCAAATGCAAAGCCCGCCACGACCTTTTCTCTTTCACTCGCAACATTCAAATCTCTCTCTCCTCTGTTTGCTTTTCTTCTCATTCGCTGTTCCTTTGGCTAGTTAAGACTCATTTTCTCCCTTTTCACACAATTCGAACTCAGAGGTCCTCACATTGATCCAAGATTAAGTTCTTGTCTCTCTCTCCGTCCACTCTGTTTGCTTTTTCTTGTCATTCACTGTTTTTTTTGCTAGTTAATTGATAATTCTACATAACCCAATTCTCTTTTTGCCCTTTTTCTCACAATTCGAACTCGGAGATCGTTCATTGATCCAACATGAAGTAAGCTTCTTCCTCTCTCTCTCTCTCTCTCTGTTTTTCTTCTCATTCACTGTTCCTTTTGCTTGTTAAGTGAATTTCTACATTACCCAACTACTATTTTTTCCCTTTTTCACAGAATTCGAACTCAATGGTCCTCCGTTGATCCAATATGAAGTTCTTGTCTTCCTCTCTCTCTTTCCTCTGTTTGATTTTCCTGTCCTTCACTGTTCCTTTTTCTGTTGTTAATTGAAAATTCAACATTACCCAACTTTCTTGTTTCACCTTTTCACACAATTCGAACTCAGAGGCCCTCCATTGATCCAAGGTGAAGCTCTTGTCTTCTTCGCTCTCTCTCTAATCTATTTCCTTTTCTGGCTATTCACTGTTCTTTGGCTAGTTAATTGAAATTTCAACGTTATCCAACACCCCCCCCCCGCCCTTTTTTTTGACCTAATTTCGCAAAATTCGAACTGAGTTCTTTCATTGATCGAACATGAAGTTGCTGTCTTCCTCTTCGTCCTCAGCTTCCTCCACCATTACAACTGCCACTACCACCTCCTCTTTCGGTGGCAATTCAAAAAGTTCCACTGCTGGGTGTCTTTCTGGAATGCTGCGACGACTACTCTGTTTTAATAGCCTTCCTACCCACCCCTTTGATCACATTAAAGAAGCCTATGATGAGGCCATTGGGTGTGACAAGCTCCAATACTTGAAGGCAGAGGAAAGGGTCGAGGCCCCGGAAACTCCAGGGATTGTGGCAAGACTCATGGGTTTGGAATCAATTCCGCGGATTGATGTATCTAATAACCCAAAATGTTTCAATTCAATTGCAAGAAGCAGGTCAATGAATTCTATGGATGTAATGAGGGAATTTAAGTCAATACAGGGGAGGCATCGACGTGTTCAGAGCTTTCGTGAAGCTCCAACCTTCGTAGAGTTAGAAGATGAGCAATTCCTTATTCTTAGCTTTGAGACTGGAGGTGAAACTAAGGAATTGAGATCGAAATCAAGAGATTCGGAGAAGGGTTTTGGAGAATTAAAGCACAGAAGAGCAGAAAAATGGAAAAACAAGAATAAGAGAAGACAGACAGTTTATGAAAAGAATAAAGAAAATCAAGACGCTAATAAGGGCTCAGCAGAGAAGGTGAATAGGGTGGTCACTCCCAAGCCCTCTCAAAAGGTTCGAAATGGTGGCAAAGTTAAAGATTCAAGTAACATTCTTCGTCCCACAAAGAAGTTTGAAGCAAATTTGCAGCTTGCCGTGGAGGTTGAAAAGCAGTCAAAGCCTATAAAAAACAAACAAAACCTTGAAGGAGGAAGGTCAAGGAAGAAGAAAGAAAATAACTTGCCAATTGAGAGAGTAGAAAGGAATAGTGATTCTGAAAATACAAGCCCAGTTTCTGTTCTTGATTTTGGCGATTTTCCAATCGATCCAGAAGTTCCTACTTCAGGTTTGTTTGCTCAATTTTATGCATATCTTGATAGGAGGGACATCTATAATTTGGTTTATACTTCAATTTCTGATAGTTGCATTTCTTATATTGTTCTTTTCTTTTGATAAAGTACTGACATTGTTTGAATATTTCTACCAGATGACATTTCAAGGTTGGATGGTTCAAATATAAGGAGGACCCTACTGGAGGATCTTAAAAATTACCAGCACTCAAATGAATCTGACAGCCATATTTCAATCAGTGCTGATTCTGAAACTAGGAAAATTGAGGGAAAATGCGCCCGATCCAAGAAGAAAGATCACCAGGGTCAGAACCATGTAGAGATGTGGGCTGAAATTTGCAAATTGGCTGAAGCAGACATGAAACAATCACATTGGATGTACAGGAAGCCTGGAGATTTTGAAGAGATTGGTGCAGATTTTGGGTTAGACATTCTTGACCAACTCTTAGCTGAACTGGTATATGAACTTGTGGGGACATGTCAAGAATATTTTTGACTTGTAATAATACTTAAAAGATTTTACCTTTTTTTTTTCCCTCAGCTGAATTGAAGACTCTTTAAATGTACTTTACACTGATCTCTGTAAAAAAGTAACTCTTTTATTGACCTGTCTGAAGTAAAATGTAAATCCTTGGATGTCCAGAGTCCGAAGAAAAGCAAAAGGTTTGGAGGGCTAATGTTTTGTTAATCAAAACAAAGCAAGATCAAACATCATACATTGATTCAGAAACTTGCACCATTGGATATCTTTTTAAAAAAAAAAAAAATTCTTTTTGATTCAACTACTAATCTACACAACGAGAGCTATTCCCCAAACCCATCCACTTCTGAATGAAGACACAATTCAATCCTACCCAGAGATATTATCAAATTGGTTTACTGACTCTTTCTCTGCATAGATAGATTCCACAGTTTTAATGTGGGGCGGTATTGTATGATGTGGCAGCCGATGAATGGTTGACCTTAAACCCGTTGGTTTTCGGCTTTAGCCGGATGGAAGTTAGTCTCTTCAACTAATGCAGCAGAAACACATACAAGTATTTTCCAGCTGGCAAACAGACAGGGAAGAATGTTCATACAATTTAAAATTTAAAGAATATACACCCGTTGCTTGGATGATTCTTGTGCTTTTGCCATTCAGTTGCCCGATAGTTCGAATGGGAAAATCACATGGTTAATGCATTGAGGTGTTAAGTTAAAGATGATTGTGTGCATCAAATGTCAGCATTGTATTCACATATCCAGATAACATCGATCGTTCTTCACTTAAAATTTTAAAATAAAGCTACCATATCTTGAGAAACATTGAAACAGGGGCCAAATCATACTAAACCCATTGGACTGAACAACATAGTACTTCAAGTAACAACATGGCATCAGACTATCTAAGATCAGATAAGTAGTTTGGGGTTAGAATCTTAATCATCTATCAGAAGGGGAAAAGTTTGAGGACCAATGTCCTTGGTTGGATGAG